TTCAGTCACAGGAAACCATATTCTTCATTGCAATCCATTCCTGGTATAAAAAAATAACTCTTTATAAAAGAAGACATAGTACTTGCAATCTGAATATTGGTTTGAATTTCAGTGACCTAGCCTAAAAACCTATTGATGAAGTCAGTATCTGACGCTATATAGTTCGTTCTCTAACGTTACTCGGTTCCAATGAATCCGAACCATTCCGGGGCACCGTAAAAAACATTAAAATATATGTAGCGCATTTAGAAATGATCACCAAATTCTTTCGATAAAGTCTTTGCCGATCAGTGATTATCATTTTATCTTCGATGAAAAAAAATGAAAATTACCAAATATTTAGCATTGAAGCCTTTAAATTTATATTGGGTCACTAATTTTTGTGCCTAAAAAACTTATTTTTACTATCATTTGTTATAGCATCTTCGATTTTATGTTTTTTTAAAAAAAAAAAATATTGAATGATGATTAAGTCACGCGGACCAATTAATTCAAATATTTTGCGTACAGAGGCATTTGCTCCTGGTACCTACCTTTTAAAGTATTGTTCGGGGTTATCAATACGTTAATTAATAAATATCATCAACCAAAAACTTTTCCCCTTATGCTCAAATAGAATATAACAAGAAAAGACTCCACTTTACAACGGAGTTCCCAATTAAGTTAGACTTTTAGAAATGCTTAAACCGTCAGCGAAGCGACGGGTATTTACTAGTATATATTTAAAATCTATAATGAATTACATTTTGTTTTGATTTGTTAAAGAAAGATTAAATGCATCGATTTATATAAAAATTATGTGTGTGACATGTTATTTGACTAATAAGGATTGGCAACACATGGGACATTTCCTGTGACCGATAAGGCGTATTTTTGTGTAAATTGTATCGATTACACTGAATAATTTAGGATATATTACCGACGTGCATTGACCAAAGTACCGGGTGTGACGAATAATTTCACCAAAATAAAAATTTAGTAGAATGGTGAAATTGATAAAATTGGTAATTTGGAATTGGGCTATTTTATGTTATTTATCTTCCAATATAATACAATCTATTACTGAAAAGGTCGCATACAGGATTCCTTACAATGGTCGACCCGCATTCATTCTATATTGCCAGAACGGCTTTTTTTGTGTATATGTTTTTTTAAAACCACTATTCACCATTTCGTCATTCCACCATTTTACCGTTTCACGAGTTATACCGTTACCGATTGGTGATTGGTGAGATTATTTTATCACCCTAGCTTAGTTTCACCAGCATCTTTAGTTAGTCACTACGGTAATTAACTAATTCAAATAATATATTCATTCGAGAAATAAAGGTATAATTGGGTTTTGACCTAAATAACGATTAAAGAATATGCCAGAACAATCATCCGACAAAGTCGCTCTTGATTTGGACGATCCAAGTTTATTGGAATATAAAAACTCGGTGAACGCGAATGATGCTCAAGCGATGCTCACGCTCGGATGGCAATATGAATATGGTATCAACGTGGTAAAGGACGAATACAAGGCGTTCGAATGCTACCAAAAATCCGTAGAAATTGGCAATATTGAGGGGATGTACCAAGTTGGTTATTGTTATTATTTAGGAATCGGGGTCGAGGTCGACAAGAGTAAAGCGTTTAAATATTATCTGAAGTCGGCCGAAGCGGGTCATTCCATGGGAATTTGGAAAACTGCCTTTTGTTACTATTACGGAATTGGTGTGGATAAGAATGAAAGCGAATATTATAGCTGGATTAACAAGTATTTTTACTTTTCAAAAATTTGTTAATATATTTGAACTAGTGATTTGAGCCGGTTGATAGGATTGATAAAGTATGTAAATGGCCAAGAGAGAGCAAAGATTCCGAAAAGGTTCTAAAAGAAACTTAATGAACATAAGAGACGAGCAAGGTTGAAACAAAAATTTGAGCGAAGCTCCGAAAATTTCCGAGGCAAGAACGAGAAGTAGAGATTATTAATCTCAACCAGTTGTAATCGGTATACACAAAATAATTCGGTTTAGTTAACCGATTGTGGATATTTTTCTCGGTTCAAATCACTAATTTAAACTTTACATTTTAAGATTAGAAATTATTTCATTCTTTAGGGAGTAAGTATAATGATCAATTTTATGAGTTATAAAAATTATTTCTTTTGTGCCAGATCCTGGTAATTTCCATTGAAATGATATATTCAATCGTATTAATTTAGTCGGTAAGTGTCAATAATATTTATTGATAAAGTATTTAAACAAAGTTTATTCGAGTTCATGAATTTTTACTATTTAATTTTATTTGATTTGCATTAATTTAGTTTGTAAGTATACAGAACATTTGTAATCAAGTATTAAAATAAGCTATTCATGTTCATGAATATTTACTCTTTAATTTTATTCTAGTGGGTAAGTATAAAGAATATTTATCAATCAATGTATTTTAAATAAGCTATTCAAGTTCATGAATATTTACTATTTAATTTTATTTTAGTGTGTGAGTATAAAGAACATTTATTCATCAAAATATTTAAAATACGTTATTTAAGTTCATGAATATTTCTGTTTGATTTTATTTCATTCATGTTAATTTAGGAGGTAAGTATTAAATCAAGGTATTTCTGTATTTAAACAAGTTCATGAATATTTACTATTTAATTTTATTTATTCATGTTAATTTAGTGGGTAAATATAAAGAATATTTTATTAAAGTATTTAAAATAAGCTATTCAAGTTCATGAACATTTACTATTTAATTTTATTTAAGTGTGTGAGTATAAAGAATATTTATGTATTTAAAATAAGCTATTCAAATTCATGATTATTTACTATTTAATTTTATTTATTCACGTTAATTTAGGAGGTAAGTATAAAGAACATTTATTAATCAAAATATTTAAAATAAGCTATTCAAGTTCATGAATATTTACTGTTTAATTTAGTCGGTGAGTATTAAAGAACATTTATTAACCAAAGCATTTAAAATAAGCTATTCAAGTTCATGAATATTCACTATTTAATTTTATTTTAGTGTGTGAGTATAAAAAACATCTTTTAATCAAGGTATTTAAATAAACTATTCAAATTCATGAATATTTATTATTAATTTGATTCTAGTGCGTAAGTATAAAGAACATTATTAATCAAGGTATTTAGAATAAGTTTTTCAAGTTCATGAATATTTACTATTTAATTTCATTTTATCGCATCAATTAGTAGGTAAGCATAAAATTATTTGTGTTCGATTTAAAAAATACAGTAAATAATATAATACAAATAATAATTACAAAGATCTTCAGATTATGGAAAATGTACACATTGTAATGAATATAACACGTATCAAGTATGGTGTCTGACATGTGATCCTGACATAACAATTCGAGAATGGACAAGTGAAAATAAATATATTGATAACTGCGTCAAAGAGTTTCAACTTAGGACTAATAATTATGAATCTATGATTGAATGGATTCCATTTGATAGACTAAATAATATTAAAAAAATTGGCGAAGGAGGATTTGGCTCTGTATTTTCTTCGATCTGGTTAGATGGGATACGGAAGATTAAAAAAATTGAGAAAACAGATAATGGTGAGAATGACGATGATAATTATTTATGTGGTAGTGATAAATATGTAAGATCGCGTGAACCTTCTAGTACTGTTGCACTCAAGTTCTTATCTGGTTCCAAGGAAAGTCTTCGTTTTTTGAAAGAGGTAAGTTAAATTATTGTACGTTTATTAATCATATATCGGACTAATTCATTTTTATAAATTTAAAAGTTTGACAATCATACGAAATGTAGATTATACGGTAGTAAGCTTGCATTATATGGAATAACGCAAAATCCAAAAACAAATGAATACTTTATGGTATTTCAATATGCCGATAATGGAAGTCTTCATAAATTTTTAAGCTCAAAATTTCGAGACCTTACCTGGCAAATTAAATTAAAACTACTTCTGGATATTTCATACGATTTACTTCTAATTCATGAAATGAGATATATTCATGCAGACTTGCACAGTGGTAATATTTTGCAACATGAAGGCATTAGTAAAAGTATGAAATCTTACGTCTCAGATCTGGGATTGTCCAGAAAGACAGATGAAAATGATTCAGAAGGCGGTATTTATGGAGTCATGCCTTATGTCGCTCCAGAGGTTCTGTCAGGTAAACAATTTACAGAAACTGCTGACATTTATGGCTTCGGAGTCATCATGTCGGAGATGTCAACTGGACAAAGACCTTTTGATGGTTACGAATTTAATATTGGCCTTGCAATGAAAATTTGGGATGGGTTACGACCTGATTTTGCTTCTGGGACTCCAGATTGCTATATTGAATTAGCTAAGCAATGCATGGATTCTGATCCACAGCAACGACCTATTGTTAAGGATGTTTGGGAAAAACTTTGTAAATGGAATAAATGCATGGAGGATTCGGATGACACACCTGAAATTAAAAAGCAATTCTTAGATGCTGATAAAATAATCAAAATTTTACCAATTATCTCATCGAAACATCCTGATCATATGTATACCAGTAAAATTATCCACACGCGAAAGATCAACGAACAACTAAGCAAGTCTGTGGATTTTGACTTTACGATATTATAATTTGTATGTGGGATTATTTTTTTTAACTCAGTTTAAGATCTTATGTTTGTCATGATGACAAGAATAAGTTTTCCCGCGAGGTTTGTTGAAAAAAAAGATTTGTATGATTTTATGCACATGGATTATATCTACATAATTGTAATGTTAAGGATTTTTTATGTAGTATGCAGTATATGATCTAAAAATTATGTTCATGTATCGTGATCTTATAAGAGAAAAAATAAAGTATACTGTATTTTTTTAAGTACAATTAATATTAATTTTGAAATGCCGTGAACGAAGTCACGGAGCAGTCATTTGTCACGAGATCACGTCAGTTATCCATGACGTTATTATTGGGTAAGTAAGTGTTAGTAAGAAAGGATAATCGATTGATTGATTGAGTGATGAGGTCATCGTGGGTTAGAGAATTGAGTAGTTAGTTTAATTGAATAGAGTGTGGTAAGTATGAGGTCATCGAAAATGGCTATATAAGTAAAGTATGAATGGAAAATAGTTCTTTTGTCTTTGCTGCTAGCTCGACGCAAGTCTAGTTTTGTTGATAGGGCCAACCGTCTGCCACAGGATTTGGGAGGAAAGGGATTGTGAAGGTAATAGGTAAAGAGGATAGCCCGGGTGAGCAACTCGGATATCAAATAAAGTCGGATGGGTAACGGGAGGAAATAGAGTAAACGAAATGCATTGAATTAGCAAAAAAAAAAAAAAAAAAGAGAAAAGGGAAAAGAAAAGAGGGTACGATACTACAGAAGCAGCTGGTGACCACGTGAGCAGCAGGGCAATTCATAGTGTGTATTTCGTAGTGTTTCAGTTGTAGTGATCGTGTGACAAAAAACCAATAATTTTATAAAAATATTTTAGATTGTTGTTATTCCGCCCTTCAATTTTGCTAATGCCACCTCTCATAAGTTTCCGACTATCTCTGACCCTCTTCTAGATGATTACGGTACATAAATAAAGTTCACAATCCAAAATTTTTATTGATCGAAACTTCAAAAGTATACAAAGTCTCGCAAATTATATTCGTGTAACATATCATTTAGGGTCGGAGGTTGGCTAGATTATGTGGTGGTGGTATTAGGAAAAGTGAGAGGTGGAAATCATTATTCTTTATTTTTATTGTACATTTATTGGAGTGCATAACTATATAATTGATAATTTTGTATAATACTTCAAAAATCAGTAAAAACAGATGTACTAGTTGAATATTTAATGTTGAATTATTGTTGTGAAAACAAAAAAATAATGTTATAAAAAAGAAAGTGAATAGGCAGCTCATAAAGTAGTGTTTTAATTTTAAAAGATTTGAATTAATTGAGATTAAAGTTTGAAAGATTGCATATAGGGTTTTGATTATTATTAAAATAAAATTGTGGATTTCTAGTTAATGTATTGATTATATAATAATTAGTCTTTATTGCATTTTGAGAAAATTATATTGTCAAAAATTAAGTTTTACAGATAGTTTTTATAAAATTGAAAAATTCTAAAAAAAACAAAGTCCTTTGGGGAGTTAAATGTATTAAATTATAACAAGAAAAATTATTCAAATGATAAAAGTCATATTCTATAAAATGTAAGAGATGAATTTCTTAACCTTTATGCTTTATTTAATGTATTTTCTTAAATAAAATTATTCTAAAGTAATCATTAATTAAATACAATATATAATACCAAATGTTTAATTGTAGGATCATATTGAAATACCATTCTTGATTCATGTAATATACAATACAATGCAACCTATCAAAAACAATTTGCTACATGATCGATAGTCTGATAAGTATATAATTTAAGAAAACAATGTGGGATTACTTAAAATATGATAAACTGATCAGTTGCATATTTTCTGAATAACAATTATTTTAATATAATCATTTATTTTATTAATAATATAAAAGTAATGTAATTATGAATTTTTTATTTTAGAACTTACATTATTGAAGATATATTGTAAAAATCAAAGAAACAATGTTGTTTATATGATATATATTTTGATTACATATCTTTAAAAAAACAAATCAAAATCATATAACTTATATATATCAGATGTTTTTGAAACAAAGGTAAATTATTTTAATGTAATAGTTTATTTAAGTAATAATATTATATTAATATTAATTTAATATTTATGATATGCAATTTTTTATTTGAGTATAAAGAATATTACAAGAATTCATATTAATCAGAAACTAATAAATTCATAAAAATATCATCAAAGCAAAGAAAAATAATTTTAATGCAATCATTTAGTTAACTAATAATATTATACTGATAATTATTAAATATTTATAATATATAATTTTTTATTTGAATATAGAAGAGCATTACAAGAATTCATATTAATTAATAACTAACAAAATTGTAAGTTTATATTCAAAGCAAAGATAAGTTATATTAATATAATCATTTATTTAATTAATGATATTATACTAATATTTATTAAAATTTATAATATGCAATTATTTATTTAAGTACTAAAGAATATTACAAGAATTTATATTAATCAAAAACTAATAACAACATAAGTATATCTTCCAAACAAAAGATATATTATTTAATATAATCATTTATTTAACTAATGATATTATAATAATATTAATATAATGTTTATATTATTTAATATTTTATATTTAATATTCATTTAATCATAAAAGAAAGGTATCTTGGTACTTATCAAGTTGAGTTAATCATAAAAATATTTTTATTAATTTTTAAATTTTTTAAAAATAAAAATAAAAAAAGAAAAGTGTTTACTAAAAGTTGAAAATAACAAATAGCTAAGAAGAAGAAGTATAAAAAGAAGAAGAATAACAAAATAGCTTAGAAGAGGAAGTATAAAAAGAAGAAGAAATGTAAGAATTATTATATGTAATATTATGCTAATATATTAGTAATAAATATTAACTTATTTTAGTGATGCCAGAATATATTATGAAAGCAGTTCAAACAGTACTAGATATGCTTAAAAATAAAGAGAAGAGTAAGAAAAAAGTTCTTCTCTTTTAGACTTTAGTAGTGTAAGCACTACTAGTTGTGATAGCAAAAGAAAGCAAGCTAGCAGTATGATTAGTAAAGGTTCAAAAAGAAATAGAATTTTCAATTTTAGTAATAGTAGTTCTAAAGATAGTCAGCCTTCCAAACAACTAATAAAGAAACAAATAACCATTTACATGTAATATATTTTATTATTAATTAAGTTTAAATTTGTTATTCTAATGAATTCTAGATGATAAAAATATCAGAAAGAAATCAGTTAATTTTAAAAATGAAATAGATAACAGATTTAAGTCCTTATCATTATTATTATCTGGTTTAGATTTTTGTTAAATATTTTTATTTTTTAGAATAAAATTAAAATATTAACAAAAAAGATATGACAACTTAGTAAAGTGAATAAGTATCAATCCTTCAAGTAGTAGATTAGGAGTTCAAAACCCACCAACAGTAAAAATTTGAAAAACTACTTATATTATATCAGTATTTTAGAAGTTAAGTAGTATTATAACAATGACATTTTATTAATTAATTAGGATCAGATATCTGTAACATAGTTATATCAGCATAACTGATAGATCATAGAACATTTGTACAATTTTGAATTATATGAAGAAATACAAACTAGCATCAAGCATACAAATTCAAGATAAGTTCTTGTAGTTATATAAATCTGTTAACTAAGAAACTGAAGTCTACTTAAAAAATCTGAATAAAAAGATAACACAGATCTTTGATAATACTACTATAAAGGCTAAACCTAGGAAACAGATACCAATGTAAAAGAAATCAGATAAACAAGAACCTTAGTTGAGGAATACCACTAACCAGACTGTCAAAAGTCTCGAATTAGAAGAAAAGGATCTTGAAGAGCAAACTCTGAGGTACCAGAAACAGGTAATAGTCCTACTAGGCTATTTGGATTAAGAATCTGAAATCAGAAGCAGATGTATACTATAAGTACTAGAAATATACTATAAAGTTGATACTGGAGTCTGGGTGAACTCTACAAGAGCAAGTCCTGTTAACAAAAAAGATTAAATATAGATAGTTAGTTAGCAAAGAGGCCTTCTGAAGTCTTACTGTAAGGTAATATATTCTAAAATATATGACATCTTGACAGATGTACAGAAAAGATAATCATGGTTAGGTTAGATAGCACTTAGGTATATGAAAACTTGTATGCTATTTGTCAGTATAAGTATAAAAATTAGAGTATTTAAATAAATAATCTTCTAGTAAATTGCAGATATGGTAGCTAGTGTAGAACCTGCTATGTAAACAAAATACTTAAAATAGACAACCAAAAGTTGTATATATGGCTAGTTTATACTCACATTGTATAAGTTATATAATCATAATTAAAATACAATAAAGATAATAGTTATCAATAACTACAACCTTATCATAAGCAAAAAAATATATATATATATATTGACAAAAGAAGGTAAGTTGTCTGTTCTTAAACTACAGATAAATAAAACTTGGCCTTCACAAGTAAAAACTATAAGTTTTAGCAATAATAAAAAAATTGTCTAGTTACAAACAATATTTTGGAGCTATTGAGAAGATATTATAACAATATTATAAGATGCAAAAACAGACAACAATAATAAATGCTAGTTCAACTTTAAAGACATACAATTGGTCCAAAATAAATAAAAACATAAGAGTAAATAAAGTAAATATAATATAAAATTAGGCATTATATAAATTATTATTAACATTATTTTGATTATTATTATTATTATTATTATTATTATTGCTTATACTAAGGCTATAGTTATCGATAGCTATTATCTTTATTGTATTTTTAATTATGCTTATATAACTTGTACAGGTGAATATACAACTAGCCATAATACAACTTTTGGTTGTCTATTTTAAGTAATCTGCCTGCACAGCAGATTCTATACTAGCTGCTATACCTGCAATCTACTAAGAGATTATCTATTTAAACACTCTAATTCTTATACTTATACAACAAATAGTACACAAGTTCTTATACATCTAAGTGTCATCTAACCTAACTATGACCTTCCTGTCTATACATCTGTCAAATCATTACATATTTCAGAGTATGTTACCTAACTGTAAGGCTTCAGAAGGCCCTTCTGCTAACTAACTATGCATATTTAGTCTTTTGTTAACAGGACTCACCCTTGCAGAGTTCATTCAGACCCCAGTACCAACTTTACAGCATATCTCTAGTACTTATAGTATATCTCTATTTTTGGCTTTGGACTCCTAATTCAGATAGCCCAGTAGGACTATAACCTGTCTCTAGTATCTCAGAGTTTGTCTTTCAAGATCTTTTTTCTTCAGTTTGAGACTTTTAGCAGCCTGGTTGGTAATACACCTCATCCAAGGTTCTTGCCTATCTGATTCCTTTCATATTGGTATCTGTTTTCTAGGTCTAGCCTTTATAGTAGTACTGTTAAAGATCTGTGTTACCTTTTTACTTAGGTCTTTTCAAGTAGGCTCTGGTTTTTCAGTTTACAGATTTATATAATTATGAGGACTTATTTTGGGTTTGCATCATTCAATATCAGTTTGCATTCTTCTGTATAACTTCAACATTGCACAGATACTCTATGACCTGCCAGTTATCTGATATAACCATGTTACAGATACTGATCTCAACTGATTGACAGAGTGCCATTGTCATAATACTGCTTACCTCCTGTAATATCAATATAACATAGATAGTTTTTCAAATTTTTGCTGTTAATGGATTTTGAACTCCCAACCTACCACTTGGGAGTTGACAACTTAACCATTTTACTAAGT